AAATACATTTTTTTAAATCCTGAAAAACAAAAGAACAAATATTGTGTCACTCCATTGCTCTTTGAAGGTTAAATCATATTGGCTGTCAATGTTTAATTGTACACATCTTCCAGAATGTGTCCAAAATATTTGTTGACCTCTTAATGTCAGTTGTAAGGTAAAATAGATCGTTTCACAGGTTGATGCTTAAGATGTTTAAAAGACAATGTAAAAGTTTGGAGGTTAGTTCAGTGGTAGAGCACTTGTCTAGTATCTGCAGAGATATAGATTCATTCCTTAGTAGTAAGCTGAATTCCATCCCTAGCACCACCAAAACAAAAAAACACACAAGCAAACAGTGCAAAATACAGCTGAGTAATACTGAACTTAATTGAAGTGTGTGTTCAGTGACTAGAGAATAGCGAAAACTCTTTGCACATATATGTGTATGTATGTACTGAATATTGTGGATTGGAGGGACTGAGCCATTTCTTTTCAGTTTTGTAAGATCTATTTCAAAGATAAGAGTGGCATTTGGAGAGAGTCTCCAAGATATCAGTAATACATAATAGTCCTGAGATGTCACTTTGGCTTTTTGGCTCACATTTTTCTCTAGAGAATAGCATGAGATACCTGTTTCTGTTGTAGGAATGATATTTTACGCCTCCAGTAATAACCGTATGTAGTGTACTGTACAGATCTGATTGCTTTAGGCAAGGTACCACATTTTCCAGTTTTGTGGGTGGACAGTTTGTTAGTGGTATGGGCTGTGAGTGGAATAGTTCCTTGCTTTCTTTATCTCATTTACTACACAGTGCAAGAACAGTTTCCATTTTACCATAATAAGATAAGGTAATAGTGGTTGAATTTCTTCTTGACATTCAGAAGTGTTTACCTGATCACTCAAGGATTTCTCAAAATCAGTCCTCTTGCTTCTTGTTCATTTAATTAATCGAATCATTTTTTCCTAATAATGCTACCTTAGTTTTCATAATACTAGTTAATACTAGAATTTTCTAGTTTTGACTAATTTTATTTCTTGTTTTACTTCTATTTCTGACCTATGTATTTCTTCAGCTATTACTATCCAAGCTGATTTCACTAAGTGTACAAACACGTGCATACACGGTCCATTCGACCAGTATGAACTGTATGTATGTAACTTTATAGTCCTATTATAGTCTTCATATAGAGAAGTTCTGATTTTGTCATCTCCAATAAATTTTATATCTGTATCCAGATGCAACATCCTCTGCTCCACACTGGCATCATTTTCAACTTTTCTGTTTTCTGTATCCCTGTGTATAAGCTTTTAATCTAGTCAGTAGGTATTTTTATTTATTTTTAAAAATGCTCTTATATAGGTACTGGGATTGAATTTCGGACCTTCCTTTTGGGCAACATACCCAGCATTTTATTTTTGTTTTGCTAATTGCCCAGGCAGTGCTACTTGACCTTTTGATCCCTCTGCCTCAGTCTCCCAAGTGCTAGGATTATAGGTGTGTATCAGCATAGTTGGTAAAACATGCTCTAGATTTTTCTGTAGCCATGCCACTGCTTAAAACCTAACAAATCAGAGAGTGCAGCATCACAGAATATTGCTGTCCATGAATTTACCATCCTACAGTAGTAAAAGTGAATGGTTGTGAGAAGAATGCATGAAAGCCACTGACAAACTTCACATTTGCTGATGACCACACACTCATAGCTTTCAGGGAACAGTAATTTTGACTTTTCCTTCTTTCTTCCTTCTTTCCTTCCTACCTTTCTTCCTTCCTTCCTTCTTTCTGGGGATTGAGCTCATGACCTTGCGCTTGCCAGGCAGGCTCTCGTGTTGCTAACGTAAATCCCTGCTCCCATTTTCCACTTTCTTTTACCTTCAAAATTTTGTATGATTTTTATCTTGGTGTGGTGGATTCTCAAAATGAAATTCTGCTAGTAGGGAAAAAAGTATAGATGAAATACACATCTAATCCCCTGCCATTCTCTGGGGAATAATAAAATGTGGGAATGGTATAGACTGTGAATAGATTGTCACATGTTCTCAGTTCATTCATTCAGATAAACAAATAAAATTTGGGAGTGGTGATGTATACCTGTAATTCCAGGATTTGGGAGACTGAGGTGGGAGTACTGCAGTGAGTTTAAGGCCAGCCTGAACTACATAGAGAGACCCTGTCTCAAAAAACAAATACACACACACACACACACACACACACACACACACACACACACACACACGGCTGATTTCTCCCCCCCACATTTTACTTCTGTTTCTGATCTATGTATCTTTGTCTCCTTTTGTTCAGCTATTACTCTGTTACTGTTTCCCCTGAATATAGTAACTTACATGTATACACATGGTCCATTTTACCAGAAGGAATTATATGGATGTAATTTATCATCCTAATGTATTTTTCAGGCAGGGAAGTTTTGATTTGAAACACATTTATGTTTTTAAACTAATTTTTTTTTGTTTTTGTACTGGGGATCAAACTCAGGACCTCGCACTTGGCCAGGCCGGTGCTTATGCCAGTAAGCTAAATTCCTGGCCAAATTTATGTATTTATTTAAAACTTAGAGTACGCTATTTTTGTGTACTTAAGACTTTATCCTACCAGCACCTTTTACTGTATATAAAATTATAGTTGAGGCCATAATGTTCTCGAATTTTTTTAAAAAAGTAGTCATACACAAATATTCCTTGAGATTTCTGCCCTAACATTGCTGTTAACACTGTCCTACTGACCTATCAGAACTGTCATGCATAAAAGTGAATACCATTTAAGTGAATATATGTGTATGTGTCTATATACCTCTCCCTACTAAGAATGAGATTTTTTCTTAGATTTTATAAGTAAAGACTTTTTGAACAGAAACCCAGTTGCATAAGAAGCAAACACTTAAGATTCTGTAGGTCATCCTGTATAACTTCATTATGTAGGGAATTGAAAATTTACTTAAAACCCTATGTAGTTATTACAATAGATGACCCCTTTTTTCATCCCATCAAAATGAAGTATTTATAACTGTAAGCATCAATAGTGTAAAGGCAACTGTTTCTACCTCGTATGATAGGGAAATCTTGGTATCTTAAAGTCTGTCATGTATTTTAGACTTGATCTCATCATTAACTACAGGTATATATAATTTCTTATTTTTCTTGTGAAAAAATATTCAAGATACGATTAATATTTATTACATTATCTTAAAATGATATTTTAGCGTACATATTTTCCTTACTATTTACTACATATCTCATAGTATTTCTGAAAAGTAGGAAGTAGAAAGTCTAAAACCAAATGAGACAAAACAAAAGTGTCATTCAAAACAAAGAGGATGAACATGGTACATGGCTTAAAAACAAAATACAAGATCAATAATGCCTCTTGTTATTTTCAAAAGAATTGTCCATATCATCAGGCGTAATACACTAGGCATGAAACAGTACAGAAAAAAACCCAAAACAATGGAGACATTATAGGACTTTAAAAGAAGATAATAGTAAAACCACAATGGGTATCGTAGTGCATCTTACTGTCTTCAAAGTAGTTGCCTTAGTTTTTCTTTTCATTGAAAAGAAAGGCTTGTGCTAAAATTGTTTGGGGAAGGTATCATACCCATATCTTGCACTCTGAATAACTGCTCCAAAGACAGCAATACACAGTGTATTAATTATTGTAATTGTTCTAACCTGTTTTGAAAATGGTTCATTGTTATTTTTAATCTTTTTTCTCTTTAAAACAATAAAATCTGAGAATATTTTTGGATTAAAAAAACACTAATAAATTGAAGAATGAAATCTTGAAAGCAAGGGCTTACCTATCTTGGCAGTCCTGAACATACGGAGAAGAATCTTGACACATATTAATATTGAATGAAATGACAGTAAATGATTAATTATGCATTGTCTTTATAAAATGTAATTTAGTTAGCCCAGCTAAAAGGTGACATAAAGATGCTTATATGTATTGCCATAGAAAGATGTCTCATATAATTTTAAATAGTGGAAAAAATCTATGTAAAATTATAAATAAGATCTCTAATAAATAGCATGTATATTTTCCTGAATGCTTAGATGACAGTGGGAATAGCACATACTAGTAACAATAAGTATCTGGGGAGTTGGACGGGAAATGAATATGTTCTGAATTTTGGTATTTGTAGGTTTTAATCAAATAACTATTAAAATAGCCCTTAAGTCAGTAACTCCAGCACACTTTCTGGCTGACTGAGGTAGGAGGAGTGCAAGCTTGAGTCTAACCCAGGCAGCTTAGCGAGTTACCAGGATTGTGTCAAAATAAAAAGGGACCCTGAGTTTAATCACCAATATCAGGGTGGGAGTGGAGGGCCACCTTCTTTTGTAAAGAATGACATTGTGTAAAAATTTGAGGAACTTGTCCTTTAAATTTTTAGAAAATTTTTCATTATAGAAGCAACTTACCTGAAACACAAAAGGTGATACATATAGAGTTGCATGAAGCAGGAATTCCCTATTATGCCTTCCATTCCTGTCTTGTCTGCTAGTCACCATTAGGGGAAGCCAGCTTTATTTTTTTATTATTATTATTATTATTATTATTATTTTTTTTTTTTTTGCCTTTTTCCTGTTTTATCGGTACCAGGGATTGAACTCACGACTGCTTGCTTGCAAGGCAGGCACTTATGCCACTGAGCTAAATCCCCAGCCCCCACTATTTTTATTCTTTAGGCATTTTGTATGTACATTTACATAAAACTTACTCTCAGATATGCCCCTAAAAACAATTCAGCATTGTATATCTATATTTTTTCATGTCTGAATATAAATATTCATTATTTTCTTTTTCACGCCTGTGTAGTAACTCATTGTATTGGCATATGATGTAATTTGGTTAACCATATAGGAATTTTCTGTTTCCTAATGGAGGAGTGTCTCTCCCCATTGATTAACAACATGGTGCATTTAATTTTGTAATCCAAGTTTTGAAATATTACTCTTTCTCTTTCAATGGATTTGACTTCATTGCTGTACATTTTAGGTCTGCGGATCAATGGAGAACTCATCTCTGCCTACCCACAGGTGGTAGTAGTGAGAGTTCCCACCCCTTGGGTACAGAGCGATAGTGACATCACTGTTCTGCGTCATTTGGAGAAGATGGGCTGCAGATTGATGAACCGACCTCAAGCCATCCTGAACTGTGTTAATAAATTCTGGACATTTCAAGAGTTAGCTGGCCATGGTGTGCCTCTGCCAGATACTTTCTCTTATGGTGAGATCATAAATAAGAATACTTAGCCTACATTTTAGAAGTACTGGTAGTTTTGAGATATGTATTAAAGTAAAAAGTAGGGGCTGTTTTGTTTTTTGTTTTGAGACAAGATCTTGCTATGTAGTTCAGGCTAGCCTTGAACTCATTATGTACCAGGTTGGTCTTGAACTTGTGGTAACCTCCTGCTTCAGTGTCCCAAGTGCTGAGATTACAAGCCCAAGCAATCACACTAGGCCTAAAAGGTAGATTTGTGAACTTGAAAATAATTTTTTTTATGGAAGCAGTAACTTTCAGTTTTAACAAACTGGACAGAAAAAAATAATGAGCCATGGAGAAAAATTATGAGCCATGTTTTAAGATTAGTTCCATGATATGGACAAATTTGGGTTAGCAAACTTTTTGGTAAAGGCTAGATGGTATATAAATATTTTAGGTTTTATAGACTATAAGTTCTTTGTTATCCTCAATAGTACTGTTGTCATGTGGAAGCTGGTAACAACAGTACATAAACAAATGAATATGGCTTTGTTCCAATAAAAGTCTTTCACTAGATAATAGGCCAAATCTGGCCCACACTCTTGTAAGCTTGAAATAAAAGATAAGAAAATTCAATATTACTTTTTAATTTCTTGTTGTCTTCATTACCATTTTCATTACTCTTTATGTTTCGCTTTAAAGAAAATTACCAGATAATCTTTTAAAACAATTGTTTTAAATTAAGGGATAATTTTTTTTAGCAGTTCCATCTGTTAGATTATTTATCGTGTAATATAGAATAATAAACATTATAGTAGTACTAAATTGCTATAAAAACCTCTGTTGCTTACTCTGTCTACATATTAATAATAAGTCATAAACATAGGTTACAGGACCACACTTTGAGTAGTACTGCTTGATCAGGGTTTCTAATGTATTTCCTGATCTTCCCGTTCTACTGTGAAAGAGGGAAATTCTTTGAAAGAATTTTTTCCACGTAGGCATTTCTTCAAATAAATGTCCAGGAGTGTGCTTGGAGATTTAATGAGGCTTTTAAAAAAAATTCCTTGTCATTTTCTTAATATTTTAAAGAAAGAAATTCCCAAATATATGTGTACAATTGCTGATTTTAGTAGGTTAGAGGAAAAAGATAGAATTAATATAAATTATTTGAGGGCTGGGGATATAGATCAGTGGCAAAATGCCTGTCTGGCAAGAGCAGGGTTGTGAGTGTGATCCCTGATACAACAAATAAACAAAATCATATAAATGATTTGAGAATTGTGTCTTCCTGTTGCTTTTGGGATACTATCTTATATCATGGTCTACAATTCTAATTTTATGAGACTGGAAATAAAAAAAAAAGGTTAAATTAGCAGATAATACCTTTGCTCTAATGTTGATGAATTCAAATTTGATGGCAAAAATTACCTTAATTTCTTTCTGAACTGGGAAGTTTTCAACTGCAGTTATTTAATGAACCGTCCCCAGGTTTAATTTGCTTTACTGTCATGCTGAAGTTTTATAAGGACAATCCATTTCTGCTGTTGGTTCTGTATCATTTGTTGATGGGCAGTAGGAAGCAGCACTTAACCTATGAATGCCAAATACCTCAATGTAGAAAGAATTTTGATTAAAAAATGGAGATTAAAAAAATTATATGTGTTTGGTAGTCAGGAGGAGGGAGTGTGTGCATGTGGGTGTATGCATGAATGCAGTATCTCTTAAACCCTGGGTAAGTCTTTTCAACTTCCTCATTCTGTTTCTTAATCTGACCAGGGAGACTGTATGTGTATGTATATATATATAGTATATATACGTGTATATATGTATGTATATATAGAGTGTATGTATGTATGTATATATAGAGTATGTATTATACTCTCTATATATATAGTATAATAAATTGTGGGGCCTTTATCATTTGTATCGGGAGGAGTAAGGGATAAAAATTTCAGAAATGGTATGGAATTAGGACATTTTATTCAGCTTAAATGTATTTTGAGTTGGATTATAAATTGTTAGCTCAAAGGCCAGGAATATAGCTCAACAGCACAGTGCCTGGCTGACAAGTGCAAGGTTTTGTGTTCTATTATCACTACTCCCCTCTAAAAACCCAAAACAAAACACAACACTAATCTACTTTAAAAAGTGTGGTTGTGGGGCTGGGGATTTAGCTCAGCGGCATAAGCACCTGCCTTGCAAGCAGGCAGTCGTGAGTTGGATCCCTGGTACCAATTAAAAAAAAAAGGAAAAAGACAAAAGTTGTGGTTGTTTTCAATTAATACTGTTATACTTGCAATTTTTATTTATATTCTCTAAGAGAAAAAAATTAGCCATGAGACTCTTCCACCTCACATGCTGTGATACCAATAAAATTGATCACAAACTACTTCTTATATTTGTTAAATTTCTTTTTTGTTTCTCTTTTCAGGTGGCCATGAAAATTTTGCTAAAATGATTGACGAAGCAGAAGTACTGGAATTCCCAATGGTGGTAAAGAATACACGGGGTCATAGAGGTATGTATGAATTGTTGATGTAGTACATAATTTTGAAATTACTTTTACAAGTTAGGGTATTTTTGAGATAAAACTTTTGAAGAATAATTAGAAATTGATAGCTATATGATACCTCAAACTTTCAGAAAGTTATTGCAAGTTCAGTTTGGCTAGAGCTGTATCTGTTTAGTGGTTTTCTTGGAGATTTTAACATGCATGACTAGACCAGATCTCAAGTTAATGTCTTTATCTTCCTCTTCAACAATACAAAGTCCTTAGAGCTCTTAAGTCCTGTTGTCTCTCTTAATATATATAGTTCAAAGATTAAATGTTTAGAGAAATAATTCTAAAAACTTGTAAAAGAATGTGGAAGTAACTGTGTGAGGTTAGATAAAGGACAAATTTTTGTTTTTTCGTGTCAGGATCTTGCCATGTAATGTAGGCAAGCCATGAACTCATGGTGATCCTCCTGCCTCATCTCCTGAGTTCTGGGACTACAGATGTGGGCCACCACAGCCATCAGGATTAGAGAAGAATCTTTAAGGCATAAAGTGATTCCTAAACCCAAGGATAACATGTATTAGTGCTTTAACAGGAGTGGCTGGATCAGAGTTAAACTAGTACTGTCAAATATGTGGATATTCTTCATGTTTTGACTTTGTAGCATGGCAGTTAAAAAGCTTTAGGCCACCTACAGTGAATAATCCATTAACAAAGAAGCTGTATAACCTTTTATGACTTAATCTATGTGTCCTATAGAATTGCTTCTGCACTATTCTTTTGGCTGGAGCAATGAAAATCCCTTTTAGATTGAGCAGGAAGAGACATACATAGATCTTGTTCCCTAAGTGGAGAATTTATAAGCATATATTGTTTTTTTAATGTAAACTTACATGAAGGTATGGACAGCTATTTTGAAGAGAATGAGGAACATTATGACAGTCATTGTTGACCTCCGTATTGTCTGGTCTTAAAGACCTAAAATGCCTTCATCATCCTATTAAGATTAGATTAGTTCTGTAATGTTCAGTATGTATTCAATGTGTGTGACGATGGGGACAACTATTTGGAAGAAAACTAGAGACAATATAATAGTGAAGATCTCCAAGTGTCTTGCTTTGAAACCTGTGTCTCCTCCTTTGTTATCTTATGATCTGTTTTGTTCTATCTTGTTATGTTTAATTTTACCCTCTTGAAAAATAAAAAAAAAATAAAAAATAAAAAAACTGTCTTCATTGTCACAAAAATACAGCCTACAGCACTGGAACAAACTTGCAAATTCAAAAGTAAATTGAAGTATATAGTAACATTGTGCTATGTTGATAAGTATTAATGCAGTATTCATATATAATAATAATATGTAATATATACGCTTTAATTCAAAGGGAAAAAGTTTTGGAAATCATTGAGGCTAACATTACTGGTTAACTTTCAGAAGAATACAAATCCTGACCACTACCTTGTAACATAATAGCAAAATGAGTTCAAGTTTACCAAGAGTTTGGGGATTGTGGGGTTAGGGGTAGAATTTTGTTAACTTTGTTTTTATTTTCATTATCTCATTAATTATCATAAATTACTTTAAAACAGTTATAACAAGGAAAAATTAAAGAGCAGATTGGAACACACACAAATGTTCAGCTAGTGTAGATATCATTTCCATAGTTTAATGACTTATACATATTATATACATTTTTTTATGCTTTTCAATCATAGGCAAAGCTGTTTTCTTGGCACGAGATAAGCACCATTTGGCTGATCTAAGCCATCTTATTCGCCATGAAGCTCCATACCTGTTTCAGAAGTATGTGAAGGAGTCTCATGGACGAGATGTGCGTGTCATTGTCGTGGGAGGCCGTGTAGTTGGCACCATGTTACGTTGTTCCACAGATGGGAGGATGCAAAGCAACTGCTCACTAGGTAAAAACAGTGCAGTTATCTTTGTAGTATGTAAAGTAATAAATACTATAGTCTGTCCAGTGAGAATATGTATATAGCTGTAGCTATTTTACTTACAAAGTTGAAAAACTCATTACTTTTCATGTGTGAATACAATTGGTAGACATACCATCAGTGTAATATTGTATTGAGTTCATCTGGCTGTTGAGGTATCACTGACTCATGAATTTGTTTGGTTCAATTTAGAAGCAAATTCTTCCATCTATGAGATGTTTAAACAGATTTAGAGATTCCCATTTGGTAATATACTTATTTGCTGTGTAACTAGAGTTCATTTAAGCTATGTTCTAACCCATTTTATGCATTGATCCAAACAAGATCACTGGTTCTGATTTATTTAAACATGTATTTCCAGAGATCTCTTATTGTTGGAGTGTATCACACCTAGGTGTGTGTGTGTGTGTCTGTATGTCTGTCAGTCTGTCTGTTTTGAAACAGTCTCCCTATTCAGTTCAGGCTGGCCTTGAGTTTGCTGTGTAGCCCAGGCATGATTTTCCTGCCTCAGCTTCCTGAGTGCTGGCATTATAGGCGTGTACCTCCACACCTGGCTGAGACCTAGTTTTTGAGGTTTTTGTCTTTCTTATTTGTAACCTCTTCTCAGTAGTGTTTTTTTTTTGGGGGGGGGTGAGGGTTGGGGGGAGGTGGGACAAGGTCTCAAACTGGCCTTGACTCACACATTGACTGGTCTCAAACTCACAGATCCTACTACCTCAGCTTCCCAAGTGCTGGGATTACAACCACCATGCCCACCTCCTTCTTGGTTGTTATATCCAGCTCATACTTTTAATTACCATTTGTGTGCTTATTTTTATATTTCTGCCTTCAATTTAGGCTTTCTCTTAGAATTCTTAAGTTCATATGAGTAACTGCCTACTACTTAATAGCTTCACAACTAACTGCCCAATTCAAATCCTTCAGTACAAACACAATGTGTTCATCTTACAGTATGATTCTTTCATTTTTCATTTTTTTTCAACTCCTCTCCTCTTCTACCATTTAATGACAGCTCTGTTCTTCCAGTGTAGACCAGAATGTGTAGTCATCTTGATCCTTCTCTTACACCCCAGACTGTTAGGAGCACCTTTATATCTCTGCTCTTTCAAAAATGTATCCAAATCTGAGCATTTCTCACCATTTCTACCACTAATACCATCTTCTCTTATTTGGGTTACCTGTGGTAGCCGCTTAATTAGTCTTAATTTATTTTTCTCTCCTGGTTGTTTCTTAACACAGCACTCATATGACAGCTGCTTGTACAGTAGTTCCCCCTATTACTTACAATTTCACTTTCATGGTTTTAGTTATAGTCTGAAAATAATAAATGGCAAATTTCAGAAATTGTCCATAACTTCTAAATTGTGCAGCAATCTAAGTAGTATAAGATCTGTGTTATCCCATCCTGTCCTCTATCTTACTCAGGGCAATAATCATGCCGTTGTCCATCATATCTGTACTGTGCACATGTCCCACCTTTGACATCTCTGTTATAAGGTTCCTTGAAGTATCAGTGCTTATGTTAAAGTAACCCAACCACTTAATAATGGCTGCATAGTGCAAAGTTGTGATTTTGACAGTTTTCAGTACAGAATATTATTGTAATGGTTCTAGTAGCTATTGTTAATGTCTTCCAATTCCTGATTTTTAAATTAAACATCCATATAGGTATTTACTATATCTAAACAAAGTAGTTATACTGTGTACTACCTAGTTTCTGGCATCTGGTTTGTGAGGGAAGTCTTATATCACTTGCAAATAAGGAAGCACTGCATATATTGTATATCAGATCAAGTCAGATCTTAGTCACAGTCCCTCAATAGCCTCCCATTTCAATTACAGAAAAATACAGATTTGTTCAGTAGTTACCAGAGCCTAGGTGATTTTACCCTTAGTCATCTCAGGTCTGCAACTGTGTGAGTGAATAGCAAAAAAAAAAAAAAAAAAAAAAAAAAAATTTTTTTTTTTCTTCATGTTTTGTTTTATGTTTTAAGGCAAGATCTCACTGTGTAATTCAGGCCTGCCTTAAATTCGCCATGTAGCCCAGGGTATCCTCAAACTTGCGGTGATCCTTCTGCCTCAGCCTTCTGAGTGTTGACATGATAGATATGTGCCACCATATCTGGCAAAACTATTGTTTTTTAAATTTCTGTTTTTTTTTGTGTGGGGGGGGGTACCATGGATTGAACTCAGGACCTTGGACTTGCGAGACAGATGGTTATGCTGCTGAGTTAGCCCCAGTATTACGGTGATTAAATATACAGATCACTATGGGGAATGTAGTATGATTCCATTTATATAAAACTTAAATATATGCAAAACTAAACAATACACTGTTGGAAATACAGTTACAGTGTACCAATAATGGAAAAGCAATATATTGATAAGCATCAGATTCAATAATCGTAGCTTACTACTGAAAATGTAGGATATAGCAGGAGCATGTAGTGAATTTGAAAGATACAAATTATAAAACTTTAATTTCTACTCTTAAGATGATTTTTTTCCTCCCTGAGTTCTTCATGTATGTTTATATTTTTCCATTGTAACACATGGTACTTATTATTTTTAAGAAAACTGAAAGGCATCTTATCATTTCTGGCTCATCTTTATGGTTTTCCTACACTAAAAATTAATAGGTACTTTTGTACTTTAAGCAAAAGGAACTAACAAAGTAATTGAATTTCTTATTTTTAAAAGTAATACTTTTATTAAAAAGTTTAATTTCAGATCACTGAGGTTTACAAAAAAGTATAAGGAATAATATAAAGGAATTACTTTGCACTCTTTTTTTTTTTTTTTTTTTTGGTACCGGGCATCGAACTCACGACTGCCTGCTTGCAAGGCAGGCGCTTATGCTGCTGAACTAAACCTCCAGCCCTACTTTGCATTCTTTAATCAACTTGAGAAATTGTCAGTATAGTTATCTGTTTGCTTTCTCTGATCATTTTCTTCTCTTCTTCCCAAATTCAGAACTGAGTATTTATTTTTCCTAGATATTCTTTTAGTATTCTTGTCTGTATTCCTAAACAAGATACTATTTTGAGTATTACAAAACTTTATACAAAGTACCAGGGAGATAGCTCAGCGGTACAACACCTGCCTGGCAAGCATGAAGTCATGAGTTTGATTCCTGGTACCTAAACAACAACAACAAAAAACCCTCAATTTATTTGTAATCTATACTTACTGCCCCCACGTAATAACTTTGTGAGATACATTCATGTAAATGTGTTACAGTAAATAGTTGATTTGTTTCCACTGTTGGATGCTCTCACACTAGTTGTTTCTACTTGGGAGCTTTTTATAAACAATGTTACTGTAAAACAACAACATCAACAAAATTACTACTCCCACTAATGTTGCTGCTGCTGCTGCTTCTTACCTCTCTTCTTCCCCTTCTTCCTTCCTCCCTCCTTTCACTTCTTCTTGTCTTCATCTTGGTTTTGTTTTCTTCCCAATAGTATTTTAAGGCTATTGAAACACTATGAAAGTCCCATTCCTAGAAGTGTGACTAACTGGAAATGGAATTCTGTGTCATAGTCCATTATACGACTACAATTTGGGTATAGGGGCAGGGATGTAGCTCTAGTATATGCTTCGCATACTTGAAGCGTTGGGTTCTAATTCCAGGACTAAAACCCATAAAAACAAAACTGGAACATGATGAGCATAATTTCCAGTTGTTTGAGTACCAGAGTTGGTATTACTGGATCTAAAATAAATGTTTAGTTTTATTAGAGGTGACCAAATAACTTTTTTTGGTACCAGGGATTGAATTCATGACCCCGGTCTTGACAGGCAGTATATCCTGTCACTGAGCTATATCCCCAACTCTCAAATAACTTTTAAAAACAGGCTATAACTCGGGGCGGGGGAGGGGGGCAGGGCGGCAGGGCATCCCAGGCTGGTCTTGAACTGGCTGCAGTTCTCCTGTCTCAGCCTCCCAAGCACTGGAATTACAGGCTTATGTTACTATGCAGTTCTTTTCATTTTAACATGTAGCATGTTAAATTGTTGTGTTTTCCTACCTTCCTGTCTGCATTATTATTGGTTTTGTTAAATTTTTTTTTGTCTTGCCGAAAGGTTTTTCCTCTTGAACTACTGTTTCTTTTCTTTTCTTTTTTTTGCGGTACTGGGGATCAAACTCACAACATTGCACTTGTTAGGCAGGCGCTTATGCCACTGAGCTAAATCCCCAGCAAACTACTGTTTCTTGTTAGTACAATATGACAGCATAAGATGGCAAAGGATTTCATCATGCTACTCAGAATGGCCTGCAATTTAACATCAATGGGTTGTTGTTTTGTTTGGCTTGTTGATTTTGTAGGATTTTTTTTTTTAATTGGTTTCCAGGGATCAAACTCACGACCACGTGCTTGCAAGGTAGGCACTTATGCCGCTGAGATAAATTCCCAGATTTTGTAAGATTTTTAACATTTTGCCAAGCTGGCATGAAATTACTTCATACTGTCATATTAATATGTGTTTCTGTTTATGTTCTTTATCAACCTTAATTTTTCTGGAATTATATCTCAGATATTTGATAGAGCCCTGTCTTGCTTATCAGAATTGAAGGCCCTCATTATTCATTTCAGTAAAAAAAGTATATTATTAACAAAAAATAGCAACTGATATCACTTTAATGTTAGTACTATACTATTGTATTATGTCTCTAAACTTCTTTAATCTTTGCAGTGTCTCTATAGAATAGATACTTTTTTTTGGCTTTTTTTTTTTTTTTTTTTCGTTTTTATCAGTACCAGGGATCAAACTCACGACTGCCTGCTTTCAAGGCAGGTGCTTATGCCGCTGAGCTAAATCCCCAGCCCCAGATAGATACTTGTATTACTTTCATTTTGTAAGTGATGAAACCAACTATTGGGCTTCAGAGCTGACTTTTTTTTTATTGGTACCCCGGGGATCAAACTCACGACCACCTGCTTGCAAGGTGGGTGCTTAAATCC